ATGATAGGGACAGGAGAAAATAGCAGAAAAAAAAATCTGAATTTTGAAAAGATGCAGTTTTTTAAAATATTAAATAGTTCTTCATTTGCCTGTTTATTTGCATTCTCTCTCATCATCCATTAGATTGCAAATTTTACATGGCAATAATTTTTTCTTTTGTTCACTGTTCAAATGCAGTCAGTACAGTGATGATGGCTATTTGTGTGCAAGTAGATGAAGGACCTGATGAAAGAAAATAGATTGACAGGAATTTCAGATGGCATAGGAAGAGAATCATAAAAGGAAAGAAAACAAGGATTTTTCTATAAAAATGTGCTCTGTACTGTATCCAGGAAGCCAAGAGTAGATTGATAAATAGTCATTCAGTTTGGCAATTAGCTTGCTGATGGTCATTGATAGAATAATCCTTAGGCTGGCTGTATTTATAACCAGATTGCAAAGAGTAAAGTTAGTGAGGTGTAGATGGTAACAAATTAAATTAATTTAGCCTATCCTTCTAAAATTTTTGTATTAAAGGAAATGAGCATGGTAGCCTGAGACCAAAGAAAACTTCTTGTTCCTCCATCTAAGAGCTTTGATCTTCGCTAAAGTGAAATAATTCTCTAAAGTGAAATAATTCAATTTGCAATTTCACTTTAGGTACTCACACACTGACTGACAAAGTATACTCTAAAGGGCTTGTGAAATAGACATGGTCATTAGCCTCAGCTCTAATGAGAAATTATAGTATTTTTGCTGTAATGATAAGTTGGCATGTGAATACTTAGCATATGAAAAAGCCTACAGATAGCAGCTTCCAATGTTCATTATTTTATGTTTGGGGTTATTTTCTTGGCAGAAAATACCATTTGGCTATGAATCTGTCATCATTAGGAGAGGAATAAAGATTTTAACAGAATACATATTCTCCTTCTGGAAAAATGGTAATTGCTCTATCTTAACTTTCTATGTCCTGGCTCTAATTTCCTCCTACGCCCTTATGTCCCTTTGCAATTAAAGGTTTTTTCCTACCGGTCAGTCTGATTTAAGCTCACTAGCAACTTTCCATATTACAAACCCATGTAACATTCTGTGTGAAAAAGATATTCCATGTTACTTTAAAAATCCCAGTACAATGGCCTTAGGAAGAAGAGTAAATCTAATTTTAGGATTTACAGCAAACCAACTAGGAAAAAAAAAGTACATACATAAACGTTATGTTTACTTGTTCAGTCAACAACACTACACATGTTGTTAAAGCATATGTAGTAAACTTTGGAGTGTTGGTTCTCACTACCTGTATTTCAAAAACTTATTTTATTGAAGTAATATTGCATTATAGCAATATATGTTTTAGATATTCATTGTTGAGAATCAACCTGTTTATATGATACATGCACTTCACCACTGAAATTCCAAATCTATGAAACTATTAATTGGTCTTATAGTGGAAGAGTTTATTTTTGTGGAGCTTCTATATAATCCATCAATTCCACTCCCAGGTAGCTACCCAAAGGGCACCTGTGCCCCTTTGTTTATTGCAGCACCACTTATAATAGGTAAGTTATAGAAGCAACCCAAATGCCCAAAAATAGATGACTGGATTGAGAAGATTTAAACAACAGAATATTACTCAGCAATCAAAAAAGGATAAACACAGGCCATTCACAGCAACATGAATGGAGCTAGAAGGGAATTATACTCAGTGAAATAAGCCATAAAGAAAAAGAAAAATATTGAATGGTCTCACTTAATAGGAGGAATATAGAGGAACAAATTCTTTAACCATTTGTTAATTGATGGGTATTTAGATTGTTTTCATTAGATAGTTCTACAATAAACATGCTGCAGTCAACACTTTGAATTAGTGGTTTTGCAATTGGTGGAGGTTCTCACCAAATGAGATAACTGAACCACATGAAATTTTAGTTTTTAATCTTTTGAGTAATTTTCAAATTGTTTTCCATAATGGCTACACCAATTTGCATTCCCAACAGCTGTGTGTGTTCACTTCTCCGTATCCTCTCCAATGCTTATAGCTTCTGTTTTTGAATGCTAGCACTTTAACAAGTGTGAGGTAAAATACTCATTATTGTTTTGACTTGTAGTTCCCTAATAAGAGATGATTAACCTTTATTTACTTATTGTATGTTTTATGTCTTCTTTGGGGAAGTGTTTATTTAGATCATTTGCTCCTTTTTTAGTTGGGTTTATTTCTTTATTGTTGAGTTGTATGTGTTCTTTATATATTTTGGATATTAACTCCTTGTTGAATTTATGTCTTTACCTATTCATTAGGATGTCTTTTTGTTTTGATGTAAGTTTCTTTCACTGTGCATAAGCTTTTTAGTTTGATATAGTCTCATTTGTTGTCTTTTGCTTTTGTTTCCTTGCCATTGGAATTGAGTACAGAAACACATCTCTAAGGTCTCCCTAAACTAAAAAGGAGCGAAAACTTACAACTTCAAAACATATTCTATGAAGTAAGTTTTGCCGTGATTCAAAAACCAAACAAGAATAGCATGCACAAAAAAGAAAATTACAGACCAATATCTCTGATGGACATAGACACAAATACTCTCAACAAAATCTTGGCCAATCACATCTAGCTATGATTGAGATGATAATATACCATGATCAAATGGGTTTGACTCTACAGATTCAAGGATTATTCAGCATATCAATAAATGTGACAATTCCATCCACAAAAACAAGGCCAAAAGTCATATGATCATCTCCATAGAGGAAGAAAAAGCATTTGAAAAGATTCAACGTCCTTTGACAATTAAAATCCCTCAACAGAATGGCACTAGAAGGAATAAACATTATCTCAACATAATAAATGCCATGTATAACAAACCTAGAGCCAATATCATACTCAGTTGTAAAAACAGAAAAATTTTCCGTTATGATCAGGAATCAGACAAGGATGTCCTCACTCACCACTATCCTGTGCCATGTTAAAAGTCCTAACAAGAGGGCCCTCCCTGGTGGTGCAACCGGTTGGAGTGTAGCACTGCAAGCTAGCTGCAGCCATTTCAGTGTGAGTTTGATCTCCGGTCCCGGAGGTGATCCACATGAAGAGTCAGACCTCTCCTGGCTCTCCTGCTGCTCCCCTCAGCAGTGTACTTCATCAGTCTGCCTGTTCTGCTCCCCACTCTGTCTCTGGTGAATCCTCTCATTGCCCATGCACCTCTGGCCTGTACCCCAACTCTGTAGGCATAAAAAAAAAAAAGTCCTAACAAGAGCTGTTAAAAGATAAAAGTTATCTAAATTGGAAATGAAGAAATAAAGCTATCACTATTTACAGATGATTTGATAACATATACAGAAAATTGCAAATTGGAAAACAAACAGTAAAAAAGCACAACAAAAGATAAGCAGTGAATATGAATTGTTAATTCACAGATGGGAAATCAGAATGTCTGGCAGAAATAAAGGGATGCTGAAGCTCACTAGTGATCAGTGACATGCTACTGAAACAGCCATGAGAGTCACTTTACATACATACATCTGTTGATTGACGAACAATAAATGTTAGTTAAGAAGTGGCTAATGAGGCCCTCCCTGGTGGCGCAGCAGATTAAAGCACAGCACTAGGAAGCTAAAGCCACTTCTGCATGAGTTCAATCCCTGCCTGCCCCAGAGGTGACCACATGGCGTGGCAGACCTCTCCTGGCCCGCCTGCTGCTCCCCTCAGCAGTGTGCTTCGTAGATCTGCCTGTTCTGTTCCCCACTCTGTCTCTAGTGAATCCTCTCACCCTCCGCATCTCTGGCTTGTACCCCAGTTCTGTATGAATAAATAAATAAAATCTTTAAAAAAATATTGGCTAATGGAAACTCTCCTTCACTGCTGTTAAGTATGTTAAATGTGTAGGTTTTAAAAGAGTGGTCCAAAAGTCTTTAGGAATTTTCTCACTAGTTCAAAAGGAAGACTAGATAATAGTTACAGATAGTCAAAAGCAACAAAATTGTACACAAAGTGAATAGGGAAAGTAAATGTGATATTATAAATTTCTAGGCTCTGGTAGATTTATATTGAATAAGCCTTATTCAATATAAGAAGAAGCATAATGTTGAATGAAGAACTAAAGTATATACTGTTTCTGTAAATTATAGCAAAGTGTAAACATAAAATATAAATGAAATTTTACACGACACGTAGTAATTATTGGAAATATTAATTAGTAAATAATGGATATTAATATACCAGTTCTATATGATATGAAATAAAAATAAAATCTAGAAATATAAAATATGGAAAATAAGGCATTTTATTTGGGGATACACATAATCCTAATGATTATATTAAAGTTAAACATCAAATGCGTTAACATATGTAACTAATCTAATGAAATAATGACATGCAATAAAAGATTTTGCACAGATCAATAATAACAAGGTTCTACAAATTGTGGAATGTTATCAATTTCATGAATTTAGATTAAAAAGATGTATGATATCACTTAAAAGCTATTTTTCATGTGGGTTTGTGTGAACACATATACAGGGAGACTTTTCTACATTCACATTATATGAGTAGAAGTATTTACCCCACATAGTAGTAGTAGTTTTGTCTGTTTATAAAAAATTATTTTAATTTTACTGAGACTTCTCCAATTTTTGAAGTCTTTCTCATTAAATAATCTATAATCAGAATATAAAAAATGTACACATTCTTTAATTAAATGGGTATACATTCCTAAAGGGAATCTCTAAAGGGAAAGGTGATTTGAAACATTTCAAAGAGTAAAAATAATATCAGAATCGTTCTTTTATTGATTTTTATTTCTTTGTTATTGCAGTGGTAATACCTACTCCAATATCCCTTGAATGGAAGAATCCTTGAAACTTCATAACCCTGTATAGTATCTCCGTTAAAGTTTCAGGGTTAACTGCTGATTGAAATATTCATTGCAAAGTCCAGAGTTTCCACAGGATGTTTACTTTGACAACACTCTAGGTGTTTTAGATCTCTGGAATATGACCTTGTGTAAGCTGGCACTAGGGGAAGAAATTTTATTTGGATTGTCATTTGCAGGCTAGCTCTCTGAACACCTCAAACTGCTTAGAGGTGAGTGACAAAGTAATTTCATTTATAATCTTAATATTTCAAAAGTGTAGATCATATTGTTAATAAATTTACTTTCTCATGACAATACATAACTCAGGATATAGTTATTTCTTTGTCTTTTGAAACAAGAAATAACTACATTTCTTAAATCATAGAAGAACCAAAGTTTGTTTTTTAAAAAATTGTTTTTTCAGTGGGCTGTCTTGTTGAGATCAAGTTTTTCTATGAGTTAAACTATAGTTAAAAGTAAAGGAACAGAGCCTTTAGCTAAAAAATCAGTCTGTCCGAGCAATGGTAAATATCATTTTCTTAGCCTCTGGAGCACACACAGAAGAAAAAGCTAAGAGATTCAAGAAATTTTTGGATAAAAAGAACAAATCTACAGCTGAAGGCAAAGTACAGCATAGTCCGTTCCTGTGGGGTAAGATGTGCTGAAGTGACTTCTGGTCAAATCTTTCATCATTTGTAAGGATCTGAGAACAAAAGAGGTTAGAATAAGATGACCTTCACTCGACACTAGAATTCTTTAAATGTCCACAATGCCATCTTCAGTGGTTCAGTGGGGTCACTGATTTAAGAGTTTAAGAGGAGATGGAAATTATAATGAGGGAATTGCTGCTCGTCTAGTATAGCAATATGCTGGAAGGTTTTTCCTATCTCCTTCTGTTTCCTAAAATTACTTTATTACATGACTGTGTGAAAATTGTATGATAGTGGTAAAATGTCCACGCATAATTTTAGATGTCTCCCAAATACCTAGAGATGTTGAAAATTAATAAATAAGGAACCATTTAATGTTACATGTGTGCTATTAGTAATAAAAAATTAGAGAAATAACTATATTTGAGTGAAAATTGTCCTTTTAATATAAAACAATTCTTGCTCATAACAATATATTATAAAGAAGCTACTAATTAGTTATTTCATTAGCATTTCTTAAATAAGCTTTGACTTACCGTCTTAATTTATACCATTTCCAAATTGCCTCGGAACAGTTATAGCCAAAGAGATCAGAATATTTTTATAAGGGCTTTATTTTTGCAGTCTTTTAATTCTGCTTCTCCCAATCATCTAATGCCAACTCCATGAAATGCCTTAAGAATTTGTTTCTCTGAGATTATTGCTTGGGAAGCTAATACTTCTGCATTTTATAAGAAAAGCCTATAAATAAAGAACCATAAGAAACCCTCTCTATTTGGTTTTCCTTGTTGAGAAGATCCCAAGTTGGGGAGAAGGACATTGGGTGGTAGTCTATCTAGTAGTCAGCAGAGAAGCTTCACATTGCTTGGGAATCTCAGCTCCCAAAGCCTTTTGAAGTCAATGAAAAACTTCCATCCAGAGCTTGGATCTGATGCTTAGGACTCATCACAGCCTAAAATCTATCTGAACGTTGTTGTCTTAATGTGCTGTGATTCTATGCTGTTGAGGAAAATCAGGAAAGATGAGTTACTTACTAGTGATCTAAGATCAACAGGCAAGTACAGAGAAGCCTCTCATTTATGATTAAAATAGCCTGGGGGTGCAGTGGTTTATCTATGAGTTGGATAAAAATGCTTGGATAAAAGGCAGGAGGAAGCACCTTCAGGTTCTGTCTACTTTCCCCAGACAGCAATAATGGATTCTTTTTCTTTGTACCTCAATCAGTCCTAGCAGCCCACAATAGACACTCAAATGAATGTCAATTCCACTTTAAATTGAAGGACATATTCGGATGTATGTCAGTGAATTTGGTTGCTTTTATTCTAGTATTTTTCTCAGATTTGTAGGAGAGTTCAAAAAAGCTTACCAATTTATTAGGAAATTCTCTAATTTCTGATAATATTGGAGAAACAATTTTTATATCTGATCGCAAGGTTTTAGCTTGAATGAAAATTTATAAAATGATGAACTTCATTTTTTTAAACTATTCTTTCACCACAGCTAAGAAACACAAAGTAACCACAATAAAAAAAAACTTACCCTCTAAAATACTTGAGCCATATTTCAATAGGGCAATTTGGTAATAACTATCAAAAATTAAAAACACGTATCATTTGAATTATTCTACTGCTAAAACTCTGTTAGTTCCATTGACATGCATACAAAAGTATGCTAAGATACATTATGAAGATGTTTATTGCATGAATGCACAAATATCCACAATTAAGATGAAGTTAAGTCCAATCAAATACAACTTGTAAAACTATACCAAAAAATAAATAAAAGGATTACAGGGCAGACAACATGAAGGAGAAAAGCTTGAGTTAAATTCTTTTTCCTTGAAGGCAGGCTCTTTATATTGATTATATATGTATCTGTTGAGACATTAATAGCATTACTGCCAACTGTTAGATATGTTTTCAATTTTTATATTAATTATTCCTTTGAATATTCCTATATAGCAAGTGATAGTATATCACAAATCCTATTCACAAAAATTTCAAGACAGTGATCAGGGAGGGTCTTAGAAGGAAACTAGAAGCACATTCTATGAAGACTTAATCTATGAGAGATGCTTTCAGAGGTGGGAGTAGGGTGATTTAGTAACAAAATAGAGCATGGAAGGGCTGGTGCAGGTAGTGGTAACCACTATAGAAATGCGAGTGTTGTGGGGGAGAGGGGATAAGCAGTCACATAAAAGGGGGACTGCACTTCAGGAGCTGTGGTTGCAGAAATGGAACTGCTGGAAGTAGCAAAGATGGGGGGCCGGAAGAAAATGGGGGAGATTGCACACTAATCTCAGGTGCCTTCTACTGTCTAACCCAAGATAACCAAGACACAAGACACCACATGGTATGCAGTTTGTAATGAGCCAGCCCAACTTGACATGGGACAAAGTAAGGAAAGATGTATAGGGAGAAAAATAAGTTTGGAAAAACAAGGTGACTTTGTTTTGAATGGATATGCCATGTCCCACTACTTAAGAGCCATGTTGTCAGTTTTATAAAATAAAGGCCTGCTAGTATTTTGAAAAAAAAAAAAAAGATACAGCTATTAAAAAGAATGAAATAGATAGGCATCTAGTAATATGCAAAGATCTTCAAAGTATTTTATAAAGTGAAATAAATTGCAGAATGGAAGGTACCATATGTTCCATTTTATGTGTATATATTTAAAGAATGTGTGTGTGCGTGTGTGTGTGTGTATATTATACATACGTATACACAATACCTTCTTTTCAGTTTCTAGATGCTCTCAAGGCATGGCTAGATATTCCATCTTGTTTTTCATCCCACTGAGTATTCTGATTGACAAGAGCCAATCCTGTGTCTGTGACCATTACTCAGTGTGGACTCAGTGGTCCAGCTGCTCACAAACTTGCAATTCTGGAGTCCAGCGTAGACACAGGTGGGTGTTAACTATGTAGTTTTCCTCCTGTCATGGGACCTGACAGTAATATCAAAAGTGCCACCCCAACCAATGGAAAAAATATATCTGAAAGTAAGAACTCCACTTTGAATAAATTTGAGGTCTTTTCAACATAAGATTGAAATGAAGTCTACGTTGTTCTCGCCATAAGATTGAGGCATTTCAAAGAAATTTAAGAATCTGTGTAATATTTTCAACTGTTTCACTCAAGCTTTTTTACAGTTAGCACCTAGCAGCTTTCCTACAATTAGTAAGTTAATTGAGAATTTTTTACTCATTAACCTGAGAATAACAGGACCTCAATTGAGCAGCATTGCTAGCTAGTAGTTTGATTGTTGAAATGCACAAGAAGGCAAGAAAACTGTGTTTACTGATAACATTTAATAATTCAGTATTTTCCCCAATTCAGATTACTCATCCCCCATGGTTTCTTTAAATCCATTAGAGGTGTCTAAAGTACCATGGAGAGGTTCACATGAACTTGGGTAGAAAGACACATATTTAATATGTTTTAACTATTATTGTACATATTTGAGGCTTATTTTAGGAAATTATTTTTCCAGATGTCATGAGTCTCACTGAAATCACAACCCATTGACTTCCTGAAGTAAGCTATCCACAATGTAAAACAGATTTGTTTATGAGACTGCTCTTACTCCAGAGCTCTCAGTTGCTTTCTGTTGCTACTAAATAAAGTACAGTGTGTTCCACTCTCCTCCATCATGTACTGCTCAGCTTCATCCCATAACTCCTGCATGGATATGATATGCCCCTCTGCTTGAGTCACTACACACACCTTCCCTTTGTGGTTAAGCATTCCCTGAGCTTCACAAGTATCTCTCTTGTACCTTCTCTTTGGCTCTTTAGCCCCCCAGCACAGTCAGTCTTTCTCTACCACTGCTCTTACCACATTGTGGTGTCAGCTTGCCTTCCAGTCCCATCCAGGAATTTAATCCGAACTTTCTGCATGGATGTGTGACCAGTGCAGGGACACAAGATCCCACACTTAGGAGGTCTCTGAGTTTGGCTTAATGCTCTGCCATCACTGTCTTGGAATTTTAAGTTTAAAATGAGACACTCCCATTTTTATTTTGCACTAGGCCCCACAAATTGTACATCCAGTTTTGAGATCCATTAAGTGATCCGAACTGCACATATACCAACCTGCCCGATTTTCCATGAAAATGTTCTTTTCCTTTGATGATATTTTTCTTGTGGGCTTATAGTCATAGTAAACATGCTCATTCTAAGCAGTCTTTCCCTCACTGTTACAGAAATATAATAGACTATGAGTTATATAGGAGGAACTTTTGTAACCAAATTTGCAACAAGGAGGAGTTCCGACAATGTAACCAGCAACCTTGTCACATCAACTGCCTCCTGGGAGATTATGGACCATGGTCAGACTGTGATCCTTGTGTTAAAAAACAGGTAGGTGATACATGAACACACTCAGAAAAACCTGAATCACAGTAAAATGCTCACATTCCCTGACTGAGTCAACAATCACAGGAAATGACAGATTTCTTCAGTTTCTGAAAATAAACTATCCCAACTTCCACTGAAGGAAAATTGCATTTAAATTTTTTTTGAAGAATTCATTCTATGTTTTTTTTTTTTAAAAGATTTATTTATTTATGTATACAGAACTGGAGTACAGGCCAGAGCTGCAGGGGCGGTGAGCGGATTCACCAGAGACAGAGTAGGGGAGCAGAACAGACTGACTGATGAAGTACACTGCTGAACAGTGGGCAGGTCAGGAGAGGTCTGCTGTGCCATATGGATCACCTCCAGGGCAGGGATCAAACTCATGCTGAAGTGGCTTTAGCTTCTTGGTGCTATGCTTTAACCTGCTGCGCTACCAGGGAGGGCCCTCATTTTATGTTCTATTAATCAAAAGGAAACCAAATGGAAAAAGAACATGAAAAGGGAATTCTGCTCCAGTATTGGTATTGTACTTGTCCAGCTCTGAATTCCACTGTCTGAGTTTAGAGAGCAAACCAGGCTAGAAATTGGGAATTGCCGAACAAGATTTAAAATCAGAAAGGAGGCACATTAGTCAAAAGCCTGATACTTTGCCCTTCCTCTAATTTTCCTCTCCATGTGGGAAAGTCCCTCAGTTTGTTTGCTGTTCCCAGCAGTAATATTTATCCACCTCAGACTCTTGAGGTGGAGTAATATTTATCTACTCCTGCCTAGGGAGTGGCTGAAGTGAATCCTCCCAGTTAGGGAAAGTTCTAAGCATTTACACATTCAAGAAGAAAACTAAATTTATACGTGGATCACTCACTCTCTGAGGGAAATGTCTGGCCTCACACATCTTACTCAAAAGTTCCTCACATTGTGCCTTCTTACTCATTGTACAGATCAGTAAGTTATAGCTTACTAGGAATGAGTTATTTGCCCAAAGTACATCTTTAATTAAAAGAAGGTGTATATTATGTCTTTGTTTTTTCTTTTTTTTCTTCAAAGTCACACTTTTTAATCCTGTCTTCTGTCATTCTCTGATTCTGTTTACTTCTCCCCATTGAAAATCAAGTGTGGAGACTGTGTCAACCCGGGTTTCCATGTGCCTTTCCTTTGTGAAGAAACCCCCAAATCCATTCATATTTATCACTTCATTCTGTTTGAGAAACATAAGGGGTATTGTTATTTCTTTAAAGAATTTAATATATTTAGAAAACTCAGTAAATATTTGTATATTTGATCTAATTTAGAATCATGATTTTCAAAGTTAGAAGTCTTAGAAATATCTTTTCCCATTTCTTATTTCACACCCATGGAGATGACTTTCCTAAGGACACACAATAATGGAGCTGGAAAACTTTTAGTAAATGTAGGATATACCACCATAGGAAAAAAGCACAGTGGTTGAAAAACCCAGTTTTCTTCAAAACCACTTAGTTTTGACCTGCCTCATTTATTCACTCTGATCTTTTTACTTTCAGTTTAAAGTTAGATCCATCATACGCCCCCAACAGTTTGGAGGACAACCATGTACTGAGCCACTGGCAACTTCACAAGCCTGCCTTCCGTCTAAGTACTGCAAAATTGAAGTGGTCAACTGCAAGAATAAATTCCGTTGTGACAGCGGTAATGTACTTTTGGAAACTGTTCTATCTCCACTAAAAATGACTTGCCTAAATAAAGTTATTCCAATTGACTACTAGTAAAAGTCATGATAGAGAAGTCCTACCATATTTTAAGCGTGGAGAGATGGGGGTGTTATGCTGCCAATTACCAGGCTATTCATGTGAAATCACAGTCTTCAAGCTATAATCATCTTGACCACTTACCTGATTCATTTGCTCATCAGGTACTGGTGCCCAGGTCCCTACACTGTTATAAAGCAGCAGGAAGAGAGAGGAACAGGAAGAGGAAAGGAAGAATTGACAGATACTTTTAATTGGCTATTTATAAACACAAATCTATAGTGGTAATAAGCAACTGAAAAGGAATGACACATTTAAAAATAGTTCAAGAATTTATTAAGATACCAATATTAATATTAAGATATAAAGTCGGGGCTCACAAGAGGTAATGTGACAGATTTTATTGGACTAGCCACTGAAGGGCTCCAAAGGTAATTCTAAAAGAGAAGATTAAAAATGATTTAAATGATGGCATCATTCTCATCAGGCTTAGTATTTATTCAGTTTCACAAATTTTGATAGTTAAGTCTCATTAGTTCATCAAACCTTGAATATACAATTTAATCATATATATTCTCTTGATAGTTAACAGCTCTTTAGTGCTCACCACTTTTAACAGTCTAGATCAGATCTCTGCAAACTTTTTTAGAAAGTCCAGATGGGAAATATTTTAGACTTTGCAGGCCATACGGTGTATGTTGCAACTACTCAATGCTGGAATGAAGCAGCAAAGCTGCCATAGACAGAACATAAACAAATTAGCAAGGCTGAGTTCCAATAAAATTTTATTTACAAAAACACACAGCAGGTCAGTTTAGTTCATAGACCTTATCACAGTAGTCAATTTGAAGTTAAAATAAGAGTTCAGATGAATAAAATTCACAGTGTGTCTGTGGGTACAATACACACAGTAGTATTTATAACTAGACCCCAGATTTCAAATTTCCTAGAAAACTGACCACAGACTTGGAGCTAATGTTTTCTCCTCTGACCCTTGTTTCCTTGTTTCTGTTTTGCCAGTCTTTTCTTAGTGTCAGACAGGAAGGAATTTCCCTCTGTAACCCCTACCCCAACCTTGACAATAAGTTGGGGTGTGGTAGAGTAAATTATAATGTCATGTGAATAAAATCATGTCATATATTGACAAAAGAGGGACTCTGATAAAAATCTTGATGGCAGTGACTGAGGATATAGATCTAAACATTACATGCAGAATATATAGAACTGAAATGCAATTATTTGCATCTTGAAGGACAAATTACCAGGAAGATATTTATTTGGTAGATGAGAAATCTATGAAATTTATTGCAACAATTCTTTGCTTATTAGGCAAGAATTATTCACAAATTTGACAAGTGTTTACATATATCCATAGTCACTTAGGCCTAATGAATGTTTTCAGGAAAATTGGTAGTGTAAGCACTTAACTAGAGATTAATGTCTTTAGTTCTCCAACAAGGTGCCCACCTCCCTTGATTTAAAAAAGGAGCTGTTAGACTGTTTCTGTAGTGATTGGTAAGCAAATGATACCCTGAGCTCTCTCAGTGACCCATGCATTGAGATTCGAATCTCTTCCCCTGGGATTCCCAAGATCTTCCCTTGGTCCAGTCACTAATTGTTTAATCCTGACACAGTGTCATTGGCATCCATTCTGAAAAGGGGCTATGGCATACTGGTGGTTAAATATAACACACTTTTTTTTTTTTTTTTTTTAAGATTTATTTGTTTATGCTTACAGAACTGGGGTACAGGTCAGAGGTATGGGGGTGAGAAGATTACCAGAGACAGAGTAGGGAGCAGAACAGACAGATTGACAAAGTGCACTGCTGAGGGGAGCAGCGGGTGGGTCAGGAGAGGTCTGCCGCACCATGTGGGTCAGTTCTCTGGCCTGGCATTGAACTTGTGCTTCTGTGGCTTTGGAGAGCTTCATAATGTGGTGCTTTAACCCTTTGCGCCACCAGGGAGAGCCATTAACACACCTTTTAATACCACTCTGAAAGGGAAGAAAAATTGAACTGATGATTGTATATCTGACTTAGGATGATATTTGGCCCTTAATTAATGAAGAACAGACTATTCTAAAACAAGTTTTCTTTTTCCTTTCTCCGACTTCATGGCTATTGTTCAGTGTCCCTAAAACAAAATAGGTTATAATATATTAATGTACACAGGAATCTTTGAGAATTACCCAAGATTATACTCTTATATGTATACTCCTCTCTCAAAGTCTAATTTTAAGCATAAAGACTAGAGGATTTGTAGCTGGTTTCAAAATAATATGCCATTGTTATAAAATAAATCAGTGCAAGTAGACAGGAAAAAATATGTGCAATTTCTAAATGATTACTACAGTTTCAGTGTGCATGTACATATGTGTGTGCTACTTAAAGCATGCTGATTTTTTCAAATCCTGTGTTCAGACTGCTCTCCACTTTTCCCATCACTCTTTTGACCTATAGTATGTTCATGCCTGACAATATTGCTCCACATCCTTTATCAATGAGTTTACATGGTCTGGGACCCTTCTCAGCTATGACTCACCATGCCTGTATCACTCATTTCATCCACTTCTAAATGTCATTCAAGAGGTGTCGTCTGGCCTTCATCCCTACAATTGCTAACAGGTGCTCTCCAGTATCCCTGGAAGTACCAGCTGAATAGAATTTCTTATATTCAGAAATGTTGGGTAACATGCTCATAAAGCTAAGCTAAGGAAAGCTCTTGTAACCCAACATCTGTCTCAGGAAACCAAACTTTTCTTTAATGTACCCATGTCAAAAATAAGCATTTGTTCAGATTTGTAAGAGTCAGGTTCAAAATGCTTTAAAATGTAATTTTTTTAAAAAGGAAAACACGTCTGTAATTCAAACTTAAGTTACCCATTCTGTTCTTCTCTGGAAGAAACAAACAAAAACTGAAGATGTACTGTTTTAAAAACAAAATATATTTCAGATTGTATCTTGGAATTGATAGAAATTCATTTCCATTTATATTTTCAGTCTTGTATGAATATGGTATTCATTTTCATTATAAGTGAAAATAATTTCTTTTAATTGAAAATGATTAACAAGGGTTAAAAACTTAGTGCATTTTGGGAAATTCTGTTTTTTAGAAAAGATTTGTTTATTGGGCCCTCCCTGGTGGTGCAGCAAGTTAGGATGCAGCACTTCAAGCTAACTGCAGTGGCTTCAGTGTGAGTTTGATCCCCGGCCCGGAGGTGACCACTTGGGGCAGCAGACCTCTTCCTATCTCAGCTGCTGCAACAGTGTACTTTGTCGATCTTCCTGTTCTCCCCACTCTGTCTCTGGTGAATCTTCTCACTGCCTCTGCAACTTTGGCCTCTACCCAGTTCTGTATATGCATAAATAAATCTTTTTTAAAAAAGGATTTATTTATTTAATCATACAAGAGTCAGGGTGTAGGCCAGAGGAGGTTAAGAGGGTTCACCAGAGACAGGCAGTGGGACAGGCAGTTGACTGCAATACACTGAGGGGAGCAGGGGTTGAGATAGGAAAGGTTCTCTGTGTAATGTTGGCCACTTCCCCAGTTGGGTATCAAACTCGTGTTGCAGTGGTTGCAACAGCTTAATATCACTGTTTTTAAACCAAACACCACTAGGAAGGACCCTCTTGGGGAATACTCTATTAACAACAAACAATTCAACAGAAGTTTACCAAATTTCCTCCAAGTATTTGTTAGTTGCCGTAATCACACAAGGCTGTAGTAAGGTGCTGATCAAAACTTTAAATAGTTAACCAGATAAATTTAAGTAAAACATTCTTTCATTTTGGGTGAGACCTGTGTATAATGTTAGAGATGCCTGCATGCCTCACTATGGGGAAGAGGGGCTGACATTGTCTGTTGGCATTTCAACTCCTGTAAAATATACTTACATACTAATTCCAGAATCCTTATAAAACTCAGCAAGTTTTTAAAGGAAGGGAGTTAGCTGAGCACCTATAGTTTGTACTATTGGATAAATTTACTCACTTCACCTACTATATAATACAGTAAGTATGTAAGTATTCAACTTGTCCAAAAAATAGATGTAAAATACGTATAATTATTTTACTGTCCATAATTGCTACATAAATAATTGCTGCTAATAATTATTTTACTTAATATAATTTGCATTACAAATTATTTTTGGACAAGTTAACTTCTTAGTACTAGATAGGGTAGTAGGTAAATCACTCATTTCAAAATTAGTATTTCTTAAATGATCACTTGTCAGTGTTTGTTTTTATGATTAGGTCGCTGTATTGCCAGCAAGTTAGAATGCAATGGAGAAAATGACTGTGGAGACAATTCAGATGAAAGAAATTGTGGGGTAAAAAAGAGAGTATGCTCTCGGACGTACAATCCCATCCCGAGTGTACACTTGACAGGCAATGGGTATGTATCATCTTTTCATCATTTTAGGGAGAAAAGGCATTACAGAGCTAATGAATTGAAGGTAACAATGAAACAGATCATTTTTTACTGTATCCATAATATCTTATTACTCCACTTGTCTGATTCTGTCACTTGGCTGTTAAGCTTAGAGTGGAACTGGTTATGATTCTCACACCTAACGAATAAAAGAATTGAGCATTTGTACATTTTGTTTGCACCAGTGATGTTGCTAGAACTTCTTAAACACAGTTTTGTTTTCATTCTCATATAACATCTGACAGAGATGATAGTTTTGGACTGGCTGGGGATGAACTTGTAGGAGACTAGTCAAGTAAGAAGGCATCAAATGGATTCCTGGGGCTAGGTATTGAATGGGTAGGTGACCACTCAAAAAGAGAGCAAAAGTAAAGTGAATATAATTAGGATGATCAAAACCTCATCACATGTGAACTCTGTAGTACCTGGGTAAGTTGGCATAATCTCAGAGGAGGAGAGTCGGGCCATTTCATTCTGTGCCTGCCCAAGTCTACCAACTCTCAAACAATGGGAACAGGACTCAAATCCAAACTTTAGATCCCAGGTTATTCTTACTACTTTATGACAACTCAGCACAATATCCACTTCAGAAATGAAAACATTCTGAAAGAAAACTAGAGAAAAATCATGCAGTTCTCCTCCCAATCTTTGTGCTCAGAAATTCTGATACTCCTATTGCAGAAATTCTTATATTCCTATTTCAGGTCATCAGGACACTAGAAGTTTAGAAAGAGAATCCAAATTTGATTAAACATAGGTAATTTCTTAGACAACTTCAGGAAATATAAGAAAAGTCAATGAAAACAAAAAGTACTAAGCTTATTTGAAAGCATAAGCATAAGAAAAATCAGTAATCTTCCTTTTCCCATAGTAAAATGTCTTTCATCAATTTTTGGCTAAAAAACTACAACGGACACTTTTTTAAAAGTATTCACTTATACTTCCAGACTTGCATAAATGAAAACTTGAGACACCCAAAGCAAGTAGCAATATCTCAAATATAATCTTAATTTGATTAGAATGAAAACTACAACATAATGAACCAAATACAAAGACAGCAGTAAAAGAGAACACCATGAATCTAGAAGTAAGAGGAGTCAGGTTCTAGACCTAGTTCTGTACAAACACTGTATCACAACCAAGTTATTGAGAGTCTCTGGGTGAATTCCTCATTGGTGTTTTACACGACTATAAACTGATTTCAGCCTCTGTCTTATGAATTCTTCATTAGAATTAATTTCCACGAAGTGCTCCTACATCTCTTACCAATATGCAGAAATGGTTTCTTCTTTTCATTTGCCTGGAAGAAAACCTTAGCCAAAAACTCCCACTGATAATCACATTTTCTTATGTTCTGATTAATGAGGGATGACATTACCCCTCACCTTTTGTCCAGTTGGTCTAGACTCTGGAGTTACAGATGGGGACACCACATGCTATGTGTACTTTGGCAGAAAGACTCTGTGGCCTGCTGCCAACCAGATCTGTTGTCCCGAGGATTCTCAGAAGTGAGCAAAACCTGCTGGCTCTGGGACATCCAGTTCTTACTAAGCCTCCCTAGAGACAGGATTTTGAGAACTGCTTACTGGAATTCTTTCCAGTCTGCTCACCATAGAATCTCTACTACCACAATACATTTTTCCCCACAAGAGTGGGGGTGCCCATACCTCCTTTTAAATGGCATCTTCCCAAGAAAGAATTTAATAAGACATGGCAAAATTCCTTCATTGCCATCCCTGTCATTAAGTTCTAAACATACAGTTGTTTTTTTCCTCAGACTCAACCAACTTACAGATACACACACACACACACACACACACACACATACTTGAATACACATGCATTTTAATATATGTATAGATTGGAAACTTAACTAAACTCCAAAGTTACCATGTATGGCTCAAGTCATTAGAAAGGAACAGTTCAAAAATCTAAAACATTAAAGATCAAAATGTATTTGAAACATCAATATTTAAAATTAATTTGAATACCTCAGAAGGGAGGAGAAAGAATAGAGCTGAAAATTTCTGCACAGTCAACTGAGTTTCTGAAAGTTTCCTCAGGGATGCCCTGAGAGTCACCTTCATAAATATTCTACCCTCAGGCTCTCTGCAAACTGCTGCTACTTTCATAGATCCCTCATGACCCGAGGGCCATTTTTCTCAAGTCTTTCTTATGAATTTATGACAAATTCAGAAGTATATAGTGAAAGGCAACATAAAAATCAGTATTTCTTTTGTCTTCAGTGATCCCGCCTAAACTCAGAAAATATAAAAGAATGAAGCTAAACACCTACTCAAGTCATGCTAACTTGTTTAGGAAGTTCTTCCCAAATCATTTCCTCAGTGCTTCCTTCCAATACTCACTGATACAAATCTAATTGTGAGTGAAAACAAACCTCAAATTGCGCTGCTATCCCTTGAGTAGAGAGGCCTGTTAGAGAAATCACTGTACTAAATACTTTTTAAAGATATAACTCCCATGCCATGCACGTTACAAATTTATATAATTCTATTTTATTTTAACAAATTTCTGACAGTTTCAACATCACTCAAATAAAATTTGTACCAATTAGAAATCAGGTTCCATTTTCACCCCTCTCCACCTCACTCCTAACCTTAGGCAGTCACTCACCAAATTTCTGTTTATATAAATTTGTTTACTCTAGATATTCCATATAAATGGCATCACACAATATGCAGTGTGAACCTGAATTCAAGAGGCAGTTAGAAAGGTAAAGTGTCTTTATTTGGGCAGAGACCATTTCATATGTTTTCTATTTCCTCATGATATGTAATCCAGCATTGCTAACCATTTTGTCACAAATTTTTTTTTTCACAGAATACGTATATTATTAACATGTGAAAGAATTTAGAAAACTATTGATATCTTAGAACTGGTTTTCATCTACCACAAAACAACTAAAGTACTTGATTTTTGCTCACCCAATTAATGTCTGTATGCCTTAGTTTTCTCATTTGTAATGAGTATGATAATATCTTTATGGCATATGGCTATTATAATTATTTTATAAATATGATCTAATACTGCATACATATTAGTCAAATTATGCTTGACCTCTAGTAAATAGCAATTATGTGTTAAATTTTGAATATTATAGTTATTAATAAAAATCAATAATGCTATTACAATTCTACTCGTCTATTAAAATAAGACTAATGTTATTTCATTAACTCTAAGAATTCCTTCATCATATCTCACTGAAGGAAGTAAACCCAGAAAGGCATTTAGTTATGTGACAATTTATTTCATCATATGCTTCCATTAGTTTTGTGAGGTTGGAAATGGCTACAAACCTAGAATTTATTTTATGTTGAAAGCCCAGAACAATGGAGTGGAATAAGGAGAACTTAACAGAGTATGAGAGTTTTTGACTTCCAACCTTTTTGGGAAGACTCATACTAGACTAAACAAAAGTGGTACTTTTTTTTTTTTTTTGAAAGGGACTGCATTTGAACTTCTATATTTCTTTAATTTTGAAAAAAGATGTAAAAACACATGTAATGTTTAGGATGTTATATTAATGCAATCTATGTGTAGGGAAAATGTCTTGAAGGAAAAACAAAAAATTGTCAAAAATATTTGTATACTAAAATTGTTTTTCAAACATCTTTGCACTTATAAATTTTTACTAAATGTACCTGTATAAACTTTTTTTTATTACAAAGTTTATTTTTACATCATTTTGCACATTTTTTTTTTCCATCTCGATTTAATCCCCACAGATTTCCCATCACCAAATCACCCCTGTGCCACCACCATAGTCCGGTGCATTTCCCTCCCTTCCCGCCCCCACAGAATGTCTCTGGTATATGGTTGTTCATTATTTTTGTTATTTTCTCGCCTGGTCCATTATACTCCTGCTATGAGTGAAACCATCCGGTATTTTTCTTTCTCTTTCTGGCTTATCTCACTAAGCATGATCTTTTCCAGCTCCATCCAAGTTACTGCAAAAGACATGTGTTTCTCTTTTTTGGTTGCTGAGTAATATCCATTGTATATATGTAAAAAGTGGTACTTTTTTTCAAGACATTTGTCATGAGTTAAAAAAACGTCTAAGAGGAATTTCTTTCACATGAGTAAGGTAAATTTTAAAGATTGTTCTGTACCTATTGAATTCTTGAACATTACTTTGTTTCTAGATTTCATTACTTAGCAGGAGAGCCCAGAGGAGAAGTTCTTGATAACTCTTTCACTGGAGGAATATGTAAAACTGTCAAAAGCAGTAGAGCATCTAATCCATACCGGGTTCCAGCCAATCTGGAAAATGTCAACTTCGAGGTATGACAGCTTATCGTATCAAAGCCTATGCATTTTAATTATAAGCTAAATTTCCTATTAATAAATAGTTATGAATAAAAGGACAGAGTAGATGGTAATGAACATTTTAAATTACCTATTATTTGTCAGTGTTTAATTCCTCCACCGTTCCAATATTACTATATCAATTTACAAATAAAAAAAAAATCTAAGATACTTATTTGACTAGCACCAACCAGTTAGTAAGTAGCAAATTAGAGATTCAAGTCCAAACTCCTGATCCTCTTCCAGATTACCTAAACTGATTATCAGGAATTTTGCAGCCAACAGTATAGTCTTTACTACATATTAAATATATAATCTTATAATTAAGTAAAAACATTTGAAACACTAGTGCTAATTATTCAAAATGTATTACTTAATTATTTTGCTACATTTTTACCAACTATGAGATTATTTTTAAGTATTGTAGCTGTATCCTGAAAATACTATATGATAATTGCCACTGAGCAACTGTTCCAGAGTTTGAGTTCATGGGATAAGGTAGGTAATTTGAAGTCAGTTTTGGCTTATATACCATGGGAAAGGGAAAATGCTCTGGAAAATCACGGGGTACCTACCTACCCAGAGAATTAGTTGTTAAACATTAATCTGCAAATCACTGGGTCTGCCACACAATTTGGTAATCCAAGCCTGGACAGAAAATCCACAGAAATACAGAATGAAACCTCAGTCAGAATAAGGTAGATTCATTTCACTGTCATTGTAATTCTAAAACTTGTCCAATCTTTTTTTTTTTTTTGGTTTTCCCTTTTATTTTAAAAAGTTTTATATATATTTCAAAAAATATATATATTATATATATAATTTAAATTATATATTATATAAAT